GAGAAGGACGATTGGTTTGCAGCCCTCGACCTTCAAGACGCCTATTTCCATATAGCCATACATCTGGCTCACAGGCGTTTTCTCCGCTTCACTATCGGCGATGATCACTTCCAGTACCGAGTGCTACTGTTTGGCCTAGCATCTGCTCTCCGGGTGTTTTCAAAGACTCTCGCAGTAGTAGCAGCTCACTTGCGACGCAGAGACGTAATCATATTTCCATATCTGGACGACTGCCTTATAAAAGGTAGGCCCAGGCAAGAAGTCCACCGTATGGTAGCATTGGTCAGACAGACATTTTTATCACTCGGGCTCATAATCAACGAGCAGAAGTCGTTTCCAGACCCTATGCAGACGATACTCTTCATAGGTGTACGGCTCGATTCCACCATGGCCCGTGCATACTTACCTCTAGAGCACTTCCAGCTTTTACGCGACCTAGCCACAGTAGCCATCCATGCACCTACGATCACCGTACTTACCTGTCTTCGCCTTATGGGCCACATGGCCACCACCACCTTTGTGGTCCAGCATGCAAGACTTCATTTTCGTTGTCTCCAACACTGGTTGGCATCCGTGTACACTCCAACGAGGCATTCCTTGCACAAGGTGATAACCCCGACTCCTTTAGTTAGGAGATCTCTCGGATGGTGGCTCCACCCAGGAAACCTACTAGCAGGAGTTCCATTCAAATGTCAGCAGCCATCGACTCAACTGACCACAGACACCTCCCTCTTGGGATGGGGGGCACACTTCGACGATGTGTTCGTACAGGGCAGATGGTCAGCAGTGGAGGCACTGTCTCATATCAACCTCCTAGAACTGAAAGTGGTGTTTCTTGCTTGCAAGCATTTCCATCTGCAGATAGCTGGTACAACTGTATGAGTGCTGATGGACAATATAGCAACTATGTTCTATATCAATCGACAAGGAGGATCATGATCACAAGCACTGTGCACGCAGGCAGTCCATCTATGGAACTGGTACATAAAAAACCGTACCACTTTGGTGGCATCGTACTTACCTGGGACGAGCAATGTCACAGCGGACACTCTGAGCAGAGTTTTCCCGCAGGATCATGAGTGGGAAATCCACCCCGAGGTCTTGGACAGCATTTTCCAAGCTTGGGGGACTCCGCAAATAGATCTATTCGCGACTTACAAAAACAAGAAGTGTCACCTTTACTGTTCCAGGGGAGGCATAGGCAGAGGCTCCCTGGGAGATGCACTTCTAGTCCCTTGGAAAGCACCTCTGCTTTATGCGTATCCACTGACAGTGCTTATCCCAAGAGTCATACAGAAAGTCAATGAAGATTCAGCCCGGGTCATTCTCCTGGCACGAGCCTGGGCGAGGCAAACGTGGTACCCATTCCTCCACAGGATGTCCCTATCACCACCGCGGCCCTTGCCACTCTGCCCAGACCTCCTTTTCCAGAATCAGGGGTTACCGCTTCACCCCGGACCAGAGAGTCTCCATCTGACAGCATGGCGCATAGCCGGTTCAGAGTAGAGGAGCAATTTTGTTCACAAGCGGTAAAATCAGTATTGTTAAACAGTAGGAAACAAGCCACTAGGAAGTCTTATCTGGCAAAATGGAACAGATTCGTTGCTTGGTGCAAAGAAACTGGCATCCTGCCGCATTCTGCACCAATGCATAACATTCTCGATTATATTCTCTCCTTGCACCAGGCGGTCCTTACAATTTCTACCCTGAGAGTTCATCTATCAGCTATCACCGCTTTTCATACAGGCTTCAAGGATCATTCAGTTTTTACTCACCCCATGACCAAGAGAATGCTTAAGGGTATAGTGAACCTTAAACCTCCGCTAAGACCCATTCCTCCTTCGTGGAGTTTGGACATGGTACTCAACGCATTAATGTACCCACCTTTTGAGTCGCTAGCTACCACCTCATTATCGATGCTTAACAAAAAAGTAGTATTTTTGCTGGCTGTTACATCGGCACGTAGGGTGGGCGAACTGGCAGCATTAATGGCAATGCTGTCTTTTACAGTTTTTACAGAAAACTCAGTAACATTATGTACCCATCCAGCTTTAATCCCTAAGGTTGCTACGCAATTTCATATCAATGAACCAGTGATTTTTACCTGTCTTTTGTCCAAAACCACATCCTTCGGCTCGGGACTCTCTATTCCATACTCTCAATGTACGCCGGGTGTTAGCATTCTATTTAGATGGAACACGGTCCTGTCGTAAAGACCGATCATCTATTAGTATCCATAGCGGACCGCTCTAGGGGCGATGCGTTGTCTTCTCAGCGACTGTCCGACATCATAGTTTCCTGTATCACCATGTGCCACGCAATGCGTAACAAGCCTTTCCAGACTTGGCCTAAAGCACATTCTACTAGGGCGGTAGCAATGTCCACAGCTTTTGCCAGAGGAGTCTCTCTATCGGAAATATGCAGAGCAGCTACATGGTCCTCGTGCCTGACGTTTATGAATCATTACACAGTGGTTCGGAAATGGACTCCTGACCACTCAGTGTCGTCGGCAGTGCTTTCGGTCATTTGACAAGCTTGAACTCCAGGAACGCTACCTGAGCACTGCTATGAAGTCACCATGAGTGGAGCACCCACGGGGACCACTCGAAGAGGAACGAGAAGTTACTCACCTCGTGCAGTAATGAGGGTTCCCCGGGGGTGCTCCACAACCCACCGTTCTTCCCTGTTCCGGAGTTGTTTTGTTCTTTGTATCCTTTCCGATACGGAATGGTGAGGGAAGCCGGGTGCGTGCGAAGGTCCAATGGCGCGTTCTGTACACTGCGCAGGCGCACCTGGCTGGAAACAGCTGTGTAAAACCTCTGAGCTGCGGCGCCGGGACGAGCCCGACACCATGAGTGGAGCACCCCCGGGGACCCATCTCGAGGAACCCTCGTTACTGCACGAGGTGAGTAACTTCTCGTTTTATGTGCTGCCTGTACCAGAGGGTTCTTGCATCTGTTATGAAATGCCCATTTATGAATAATGGGAGCCACAAGACATGATTATTGCCCTCCCACTTCTCTGCCAATCCCAGATGGGACCCAGCGAGCAATAACTGCCAAACTGCACCGCTTCCCTGCCTTATCAGGGGCTTCCATGGCAGCACAATGGACTGACACGTCATCAAAGCATGTTCTGGCTTTCATATGAGCAATGCTGAGAGTGCAGCTCCTGGGTGTTCTTTCTCCCCCGCACTCCCCTTTCTCCGCAAGGAAATTAAATCTTTTTTCCAGGCTGCCGGCTCACTCCTTAACCTATTGCGTCAGCTCCTGTGTTAGTGCGTTTGCTCAGGTCTCACGGGCCTCAGGTTCCACTACAATAATTTCATGTTGGTCATACGTGGAGCAGTTCTAATGATCTCTTGGCTGGGTCCTTGGAGAAATGGTCTCCATGTACAAATGCAATGTCCCATAGAATCAATATGGAGCCTGCCTGAGCGTGTTTGTATTCAATAGGAAAAGACTGACCCTTTACTCTTGCCCTGCCTTTCATATGTGAACTCCAACAAGCCTGTGTGCACTTTTTTTTTAAATTTTATTTTTTTTAATTACGCCGTGGGCGAGAGAGGGCTCCAGCCTGGCTAGGCCCACTATGCCATGGGCAGAGGGTTGTTCCAGCAGCCTCCCTCCTGCAGCAGTCCATGGTGGACTGGCTAACCGGTTAAATATACAGTTTAACTGGTTAACATTATAAACAGGAATTTTACATTCCTATCCCTGTGTCCACTAGGCCCTAGCCCTGGGGAGGGAATGCCCTAGATCCCAAGGGAGAGTAATCAGAATAATAGAAGATTAGGGTTGGAAGAGACCTCAGGAGGTCATCTAGTGCAACCCCCTGCTCAAAGAAATATCAACTCTGGGCTCATGCTGCAAGGTGAGTCAGTTTTAATTTGCATCCAGAGCTGCAAAGGAGTCCTGGTGGTGTAGACTGCAAAGGCTTTGCTAAATCAAGGCATCTTCTGGCCATGCTCTGTCTTTGGGCTGCTCTGGTCATTTGCAGCTAGGCGTCTTTGGCGAAAGAGAGCTTGTGGATGCATTGTTCTGGTGCAACCTCTTCTGCCTGCCCCTCTTGCTATAGCCTTTCTCTATTGGAACTGAGTCAGTCTCTCTCTCTCTCTCACCCACCTGCAAACCAGCAGGTGGGACCTATTCTGGACTTTCCATAGGGAATATTGGTGACAGTTGCATGTTGCCACTTTTCATGTTTTAATACTGGAAATCATACACTTTCGTTCTAATATAGTTAATGCCAGTGGCTGGATTGTAATTGGAGTAGACTCAGATCTACAATGGGAAAGATAGGTGAAGTCAGAGGGCCAGCTCCACTTCCTGCCTATTCCTGGGACCCTGTACATCCCTGTCATCACCTCCAGCATTTTCCCATAGCTACTGCCCTTTTGCTTGCGGTTCCACAAGATTATCTTTCTTTGAATACAGAGTTTTGTGGGGTCGAGAGGCTCCCGGAGGAGGGAGCAGAGGACTATATCCTCTATGGCATGTCTCCTTATAGGACCTTCCAAGGGGAAATGCTGCTTAAATTGGGTGGCTGTACCCATAGCTCCTTCTGTGCACCCCAACTTTTTCAACTACAGATGAGGGCAGTCAGCCAGTCTATGGAGTCTTGTCCCTTCACCCCTTCCAGCAGGAGGACATAGTCTTGACTCTAAGAAACACTCTTGATGAGGTGATTTATAATTGGGATCATTGGCCTGCTAGATCAACAATTGGTGTTTGGCAACCCAACTTTGATAGTATCTTTTAATGAAGAGGTTATAAGGTTCATCTGTGTAGTCTAGCAATAGACAACCCGGTTTGAATCACAGAATCAGCTGCTTACTCATTCAGGCTGTGGAAGTTGGGAGTTAACTCAGCATTTGGGGGTGGGAATAGAATTCAGTCATTGTGTCAAGTGAAACTTTAGTCACTTTCTTTACCATAAAGATCATGTGGTTTTGCTAACAGATTGTTTCCTCTGTTTTTCTTTTTTGCTCTTGTTTGCAGAAAGGAGCGTCCTAACTCTCTGAACGTCTTCCCCCTTGCCGATGGAATGGTACGTGGGCAGATAGGGGCCAAGATCATCCCCCCAGTGGACCACTGGCACCTGAGTGACCTCGGCCAGCTGCAGTCCAACTCCAGTTACAAGGTTTTATAGATTGTCACAGAAAAAGAGTTTCCCACTGTCAAAAACATCTCACATCTTCATAAAGACAGAAACCACCATGTGTCCATAACCCTTTGCAGCCTTTCCTTTTTGTATAGCTGATCTTTTCTTATAGCAGAACCCTCCCTGAGTAGGACAAATGACCTTCAGATACTTATGTTGGGTGGAGGATTGGTTTTGACCCAACTCATGTTTTTGTCACTTTCTGATTTTGTTTCAGTTCTAATTCCTGCTATTAGTGTTTTCTGCTGTTGGAGTTTGATCTTGGTTGAGAGAGAGAGGGGTGTGTGTGTGTGGGGGGGGGGGGATTACATCTCTTGCCCCGATCAATGCTGTTTATGAATCGTTTGGTTGTGGAAATGATGGAATCCGTCTTCTGCCCCGTCATGGGAACTGTGCCTCTGTCTCCTCAGGGCTAGACGTTGTGCTGCTGTGCCATGCTCTGCTCTTTCTAGATGATCTTTATTCAATAATCTTCCTGCCTTTGGGTTCCTCTGCCACACTAGAGAAACTGGGTGCCTCTGCTACCTCCACTGATGGTAGCAACACCTACTGTCTGCAGTGCATCTAAAAGCTTTCTGTCTTTATATGACTTGCGCAGCTGCTGTAGAATGATTGGTACAGCTGGTTGCATTGTGCCACTGTGAGCAAGCCTTTATAGCACCTTCATAGTCTACACTGGTAATCTGCTTGTGTGGACAAAAAATCACATCACTGCCGCTGCACTAGTGCTGCTAGCCCTCCCTCCACTCTCCTACAGTGCTGTGCTCCTCCTTTCAGTAACTGCTATGTGCATTGAGTCCCAGCAGTTGCTTCTCTACCATCACCTCCAATATTTTCCCCAACCTGCTGCCCTTTTGCTAACAGTTCCACAAGATCATCTTTCCTTGATCCTTTCCAGCAGGTCTGATAGCATTTGAAGTATTCACAAAGCTGTATCTGGAGAATTCCCCCCAATTCCAGTAGGTCAGCCAGTAGTTGATCCCTTCTGAAAAAATGTCATGTAAAGTACACTAGCTTCTCTGAATGCATTATTTTAAAACATCAGTTTGAATAAAATGCCTTTGTAAACACATCCATTAATTACTATTAAACTTGGCAAAAAGGAAGCTGTTCTCCTCTCTTACAAAATGTTATAAATTGTTAATGCTGTAAATAACAATAAAAATACTGTGAGGTGGTAATGAGGTGAGAGAGAGAAACATAATGTATCAGCCTCATATGTTACCCAGGCCTGCCCATCACATCCTCGCTGGGAGGTGCTGCTTTATCAATTTCCAAGTACTTGGTGGGGAAAAAAAACAAAAGAGGAACATTAGAATGAAATTGCCTTGAGATTCCAGGTATCCTAAAGAGGCAGTACTGCTGCCAAATGAATGATAGATCATAGTTCACGTCCAGTGAGACACTGTCCACCACTAATTTCTCCCTAGCTCACCAGGCTACTGGCCTAAAAGCATGAGGGCATGGAATCTCAGAGCATATGCCCACATCCTTATACAGGACCAAAACAATTATTGGAACTTAATCATACCCTTTACTTAGAACCAGTGGCTGGGGTTTGGCCTGCATAATGGTTTAAAAGTGCTGTGGAATACTGACCCTGGAAACCATAGGACTTGGCCAAAATGCCTTGATTATCATTCATATCTCATGATAATTTGCAAATGTCCAAAAAGAACTTGGTTTGGAGGGCTGTGCTAGGAACTGTAGAATACAAGTCCCTCAGTGCACTGGTATAATCAAGGATGGAGGGATGTAAAAATGGCACAGACATTCCATAAACTGATTTGTATTCTGCCTGTGCTGAACCACTTCAGGGAGACACAGTGCAACCAACACTTGCATGCACTCCTTATCCCCATGCAAATGCATTTCCTAACACTTTCATTTAATCAACTGTGTGTATCTTTTGCAAGGGATAGTAGGGAAAAAGATGGAAGTATATTCATTTTAATAGACTTAAAGCTTCAGATTTAATCTATGCTGCATAGCACAAAGACTACAAGTTTTTCACCAATAGCTGTCTGCAGTTTATCAATAATTCACTCTGCATGACAGGAAATATCAGAAATTCAAATAAAACTCTAGAAACCTTGAATTCTGAGTTCAGGAAGTGCAGGTTACTAACTATATCTTTTTGTCATTTGTTTATGATTGTGTCAGGCAAAGAAATCAATTTATAATGGAAAGAGAATATTGTCTGTTGCTGACAGTACTCAGTTATGGGTGTATCCATCAAGTAATAGTGATAAATGTTCAATGCTTGTTAAGGAAAGTCCAAGTAGAGAGTACTAGGTTTGAGGAAGGTAGCTTCTGGGGTGTGAGTTATGCTGTGTGATATGGAAAATCCTGGATGCATAAGTTAAGGTAGATATCATAAAGCAGGTGGAAATTATCCTTTGAATAATTGATAGCTGGTAGCAGATGCAGCATGATTAAGTGTTGAGTAATAAGGGTACAAGTGGGTAGTGGGGTCACTGTATGGATTGGAGGAGGTATCTTGCATGCAAAGCTTTCAGTTGTTCTCATTGGGCAGTACTTTCTGCTTGAACTGTTAGAAATGCTCTTGCTTGGCCATTGAACTTCATCGCAGTGCTGCAAATACGTTATGCTGACTTCACTTTGTTTTACTTCTGTGGTGCTCTAAGTTCTTTCTGTGTTGGGGACATAGCTCATGTTCACATACACACTGATAGCTGACCCACCGGCTCTTTTTTCTTCTGTCTGAACTGATTTTTCATCTTTAAGAATCTTAGTAAATATTTTTACATTTTCTTTATAACTATTATTATTTATTGTTTTTTGCATCTTACTTTTTGTAACTAGATTAGGTTTTTGTTTTGCTTTTTTATATTTAGCATTTTATATTTTGGAGATTTAGTCCTTAATGTTTTTTGTTTGTTTTTATGTACTGTATTTTCAGTGTTAAAACCATAGAATTGTGGCTACTCATGGTGACATACTACTCCTATGAATTTTGGGCTTTTGCAATGCATTTTGGAGGTCACTGCTACACATTTGAAGTTTAGGAGGCTGACAGGTCTGACTGTAGGTAAGTGGTGGCTATGGAGAATACTATGTAAGTGAAGTGATTATGGCAATCGTCCCCTGGACTATAAGATAGCTAGCGAGGGTTGGTTTATACTACATAACTTTTAGCAACACTACTGGGTTGACACAGTCATGTTGCTGAAAGTCAGGCAGAGTAGCTGCTGTTTGTGGGCTCTTTTGCCAACAAAATATTTCCACCCCAAACGAGTGGCATTTGTGTTGTCGATAGGAGAGTGTTCCTATCAAAAACTCACTGGCATTTGTTGTGGCAAAACTTTTGTCTTTTGGAGAGGAGGGGTTTAACACCTTCGAAAGGCATAGCCTGAACGAGGGAGATTTGGCGGTAGTGAGGGGTATAAGGGATATCTCACCAGTGTCAAGTAGAGTTCCTCAACGACAACAAGACTTATCTTGGCTCTAGCTAAAGGTTTTGGAGTGGCTGTTCCTAAAGGAAGCTGATTGGCTATGGATCATATTCTGTATGAAAGAGGAAAATTAAGAGGCATAGACAAGTGCGTGAGGTAGACTACGATGGTTATTTCATGTTTTGAGTGAATGGAGGATTATATAAATAAATAGCAGTGCATGGGGCATAGATGTGGAATAGGAATAACACCCATGGAATTGGAGTTTATTGTTTCTGAATATGGTTCCTCTGAGTAAGGATTTATTGCAGACTGAGCAAGGTATCCATTTCATGAGCTCCATCTAGGCTATGGCATTGAGAAGAATGATAGGTACAGTATATACAGGAACATCCCAGAATTGTCAGATGACCCCGCCTCAATTGCTGGGGGTGGATTCACTGACATTTTACACTGAATAATTGTGTGGTTTTTAGCCCCTTTGATTCTGTGCCCTGGGAGTGCAGCGGGAAATGTTTGTCAAAGTAACTTCCCAATACGTTGGAGTTGTCCATGAAACCATCTGATTTGACGCTTTGCCTTGGCACATTAGAATGGAGTTGTGAAAAGTCTTGTATTCAAAAATAGCAGCTTAAAGAAAAAATTCTATTTCAAATTTGGTGCCCAAATCAGCAAGTAGATACACAAGTGGCCATTTAATGAATCAGGAGGATGATCTAAACGTCCATACAGGAGAAGTGGGTGTCCTGTTTGCACTCACAATCCAAAAAGGTTAAGCAAAAAGAGTGGATAGTATTTGATAGCAACATTGTTTAAAAAAAAATCAATTTCAGTGTCTGCACATCAACAATCAGGAAATGCATGTGGCATAGGACGCCTGGTTTCCTTACTGCAGTATACACCAGGATACTGCAGAAATGAGCATGGACAGGGATACGTCAGTGTGTTTCTAATTAAAGTAGTATGTCAATCAGTAAGCCGCTTTTTTTTTTTTTTTTTTTTTTTTAAAGAATATTTGGCTGCCAAGGGTTACATTGCCATTTTTTCACAGTCTTCATTTCCATCCCACTTAGAGCTGTTTTATTGCATGAAATCTGGACATAGAACACAGACTTCCAAAAACTGAGGAGCAGACAGCATCACATTTCCAAGATTGTGGGGCCTAAGGAAGTAGCTAATTTTAAAGATTAATAGCTGCCTAGCATCTGCACAGTAGAAAAGATACAAATAGAGATGACAACAACTATAGTAAGGAAATGGGGAGGGGTGTAGGTATATAACAAATGGCTTTTCCACCCAAATGGAAATCATTGTAATATGTTGCTCTAGAATTTCATGTTACTATCCTCTTTCAGGTGGTGCTTTTAAGTGGTCGGGGTGGTGGTGATGGTGGAAGATTAGAATCCCTTCCAAGAAGACTTGGGAGATCTCAGTTGGGTCTGAGGCCTATTGGTCACCTGATAAGAAGGTGAACTGGCTGAATCTGAAACAGTGTTTCCTTAATTGCCAATCAGGGAATCAAGCAACAAATGCTGGAGTATTCTTGAAAGCTTCCTGTATTTTTCAGGGTGTGGTAGGATGAGAAATGGGATGATAATTTATGTTGAACATGGGACGTGTACACACACACTTGAGGTTGGAAATACATCTCAAGGATTTATTTAGGATGCATTTTGATTTTTGAACTCTTGGTCTGGTCTTTTATCCTGTTGAGGAGAACCACATCTGACTGTGTTGTGTTGTCAAACTGGGTCATGCCTGGCTGTCTTTTTTTTTTTTTTTTTTTAGCTGATACAGACATGTGTAGCTCTCCCCTCCTAATGAAATAAGACCATCTCAGCTTGCTACAGACTTTGTTTCAGCTGCCTAGTATAAAAAGTATGTAACTGTCCCTTCAAGTAAAGTGATAGCATAAGAAATCTATTCTACAAGCTCTTTGTACAAGTGACCTACTGTAATCATGGACCCAGAGCTTCTATGAAGCCACTTCATAGAAGGCCCTGTCACCTTCCAGACATATGGGAATTTCCTTCTTCCACTAGGTATCTTTGGAAAACATTGGCCTAATTTTCAGAACTGCTGAACACCCACACATCCCAGCAAAGTTAAGGGGAGCTGCAGTTGTTTTTCACCTTTGAAGATCAGGTCATATTCCATTATGAGTAGACCTCACATCTAAGGATGTTAAATTGCAATTAATTTACGAGTCGAGTAGTCCATGGAATTTCAACTGGTCAATGGGCACTTCCACATTCCTCCTTTGAAATGTACAAGAGCTCCAGTGGGGGTTCTTGTACATTTCAAAGGAGGAATGTGGAACACCACATGCGGGCCAGCGGGAAGTCCCGCTGACTTTAGGGTGCATGCAGGCATGCCAGCTTTGAAATGCCCAAGAGTCCGCAGCAGGGGCTCTTGCGCATTTCAAAGTGGCAGTGCAGCATGGAGCTCGGGGACAGCAGAGGACTCAGTGCCATGTGGATCAAGGGTCAGCTGGGGACTCCCCAGCTGACCATGGGTTCCATGCGGCATTTCCCCAGAACCCGGAGTCAACTGGGGACTCCCCAGCTGATCCCGGGTTCCGTGGAAATACTGTGCTGGAGCTGGGATCAGCTGGGGAGTCCCCAGCTGACCCCAGACTCCACGAGCTGCACAGCTGATTCTGGGATCAGCTGTGCTGCGCTGCCCCTTTAAACGCCGCCTCCACATTTCAAAGGGGCAGCGCCGCAGTGCGACGCTGTCCTTTGAAGTACCCCTCCTCCACCTTTTGCCTCCATCAGAGAGAGGCAGCAAGGGGAGGGGGGAATCAACTAGTTGACTGACTATCTGATAAGCAAATGCTTATCGGATAGTCGACTAGTCTTTAACATCCTTACTCACATCTAATGTAACTTCAGAAGATCTGAAATGCCGTTTGTGCTGGTAACAAAGGAAGAGGTGATATAGGAATCCTTATTTAGACCAGATAGGATTTGCTTGCTTAATTCTGCACAAGAATTTGTTCATTTGTAGTGCCAAATAGGCACAGTTAGCTCTGGGTATTCAGTTTCTGGTACTCCATTTCCTGTGATTTTCTGCAAGGTAGCCATCGATCTGGTAAATAAGAAATTATCTGAGGCATATAGATGTGCTTTTCCTTTTCTGTTTTCTCCTCTTCCATATTGTCATAGTGCCCAAATGATGAAATGTCTGAATCCGGTCAGTCTTCTGCAGCTGCCACTCCAAGCACCACAGGGACAAAGTCCAACACACCAACCTCATCTGTTCCCTCTGCTGCTGTCACACCCCTAAATGAGAGCCTTCAACCAATCAGTGACTACAATGGCACAGCCAAGAACAGTAAGCGGGCACGGGAAAAGCGGAACAGCAGAAACATGGAAGTCCAGGTCACTCAGGAGATGAGGAATGTCAGTATAGGTATGACAGGTGTACTCTTCTGTATGTGTTTTGCTAGCCAACCTGTTGCGTGCCCACTTTAATAATAGGCATAGTGAAATCAAATACTGGAAGATGTCTGAGGGGACTGAAAGAGTAACTAGCTTAGTTCTACTGAAAGAGAATGCTCCTTGTTAAGAGTACAGTTGGAAGTAGGAGAATAAAGGAGGGTGAGATGCTCATTTATGAGTGATGATAGGACTATGCTCACTTTTTGGATGGTGGCACATTTTGAGGAGGAATAGTAAAGGATTCATTGACATGGATCCAATTTCCAAGTTTATTACAGCTCACTTAAAAGAAATTTCTTCTGTAAAACCCCTGAATAGGCTCCTGGCAAAGTGAAAGCACAAAATAGTAGAAAAATAATGTTCTGTTGACTTTGACTGAAGATGCCAGCACTGAAATCCCATTTTTCTAATTGTATTAGCAGTCTGCTTGCTACCAGGATCACTGTCCCGTGGCTGGTAGAGAGCAATGCAGTTCCTCAAAAGTTCTTAAATGATGCCTAATCAGTAAATTGGTATCTCTTCAGTGATGTTAGTAGAGACATTTCAATAAGTCTAAGTATCATCACTAGAAGACAGACACAGAAGTCTTGGCGCACTCCATCATTGACCTGTATATGTAGGCAGAGTCCAGGAACTGTTGATAGCAAAAGAAAGTCATAAATGTGTGACGCCATTGCTGGTGTACTTCCAGTGGTGATAGTGGATTTACACTCAGATAAATTTGTTTCACATCATTTCTTCCCTCTGCCCCTGAGAAATATGGATCAGCTCAGTACAGGTAGCAACAGAAGGTTTTGAGGACAGCTTCCTCCGCTTTTTTCAAAAATTAGAAAAGGAATCCTCTCCTTCTGCAAGCTTGTGAACTGTTGCTGATAGGTTATAATAACAAAAACAATCATAATAACAAACACAATCGTTTTTTGTCTTAAAATATGCCAAGAGGACAACCTGAAGCAATGAAATAACCAGTAAGGGTGTCATTGGTTTTATATACTCTAACATTGAAGCTGTTTAATGGGTCAGTAAACCCCAAATTTGATGCAATTGGAATTTTAGTGTCCTTTACAAACTAAGGCCTAGACACTTCAGGAATTGCTTTGTAGGCTGACCCTTTTGCCTATATGGAGTATGCCTGTATGGAACAATTCAAGACTGGACCTTAGAACAGTTTAATTTGTTGCAAACTCAGAAAGGCATTTGGAGCCTCATTTCTTTTTTTGTTAAATGACAACTCCAGAGCATACATCATATTAGAAATAGATTAGGTTGCACGTATACACTATATTGCTATTTCCTAATTAATTTTCACTATTATTAACAGATGAATCAGATGTAAGCATGAGAATTTGTATATTCCAGTTGTTCCTATTTAAAGTGATTCAGTCATGATTTATAGCTTTAATGGTTTTGTTTCAGAATAAATAAAATTCCTGTATATTTTTATATCTTACAGAGTTGCAAAATGATAGGGGGTTTGTACTGTGAGATTATTTGGCACTTAATCTTTTTAAAGTGACCTTAACTGTGCCTGAAAAAGATGACCTAATTTAAAACAATTTTACCTTTCAAATTCTAGAGTTATTTTTAAAGTTTAATATTGGAGTCAGCAGGCCGAGCCTGATCCACTGTAAAAGAGTAGATGGTAATACCTGCGGCTCATCAAACCTGCTCTCTTTTAGGTAATCCGGGAGGGTGTAAAGCTAAGGGAGCAAACTCTTGACAGAAAAGTTCCACTATGTTGTGGGTGAATAGCTGATTGGAGGGGGGGAGGATAGCCCCCCAGCCCGGCCTCTTCTTTGCCCCATGGAGCCCATCCTCCATTGTGGTTGGTGTCTCAGGGTAGGCCCCTGCCACTGAAGCACCGAGGGACTGGGTAATGTGGTCCAAGCTTCCTGACTTGGAGCCGCAGCATTGTGGCAAAAACCGTCATACAGCAAATTTTTCTATGCCTGGCACTCCAGGGCCTGGAGGGTTAGAGTGCTGGGAGTAAAAATATGTGCTAGTTGCCATTTTTGCTATTCTACTCTGCAGCACAGCAGCAACCCCTCCTTCTGCCCCCAGCCTGAGGGAGCAGGGAGGCTGGATAGCACAGTCCCAGCCTCCCCCATCTCTCATATCCACTGCTCATGATTCAGCAGAATGCAAAGCTAAGAGAATAAACTCAGGCAGGAAATCTGGAGTGGACCCCCAAAGGCAGCGGATTGGGTACCAAATGTATTGGTTCTTTCTCTCCTCTGGATTTTATTGGTAACACCTGCCTGGACAGCTCAGGATCTCTATCATCTGCCCAGGCTTAGGCCCTGGAGAAGTACTCAAGCTTTGCCTGTAGGCTCAATACAACATGAGGCAACAGTCCCCAGCTCTAAGCTTTTACTCGATTGGCATAGAATTGAGCACCAAAGGTGGTCTCTGATGGTGGGGAGAGATTGGGTCTCATTGGACAACCATGGTCCCCATAAAACTGGGCATTCCCCCACCCCCACACACACACACACAATAAGGTATCCCACCGTAGACTGCCTGCTTCAGTGGGTGCTTAGAGCTAAAAGTTTTATAACTTGACAAGTGGACTATAACCTGTGCATCAGGGGGAAAGAAAGAAAGACATTGTTAAAGATAGGGTGCCAGAATGTTTACACCATGGCAACCAGATTATCTGAGGGTTTTCAACGAATCAGTGATCCACATAAAACTGCTGTGGTCAATGACAAATTTTTTCTATCAAGGGAAAAGTGCAGAAGAAATTAGAGCATGGAGTGGGATTTGACAGCAAGAACTCCCTTCTGGGGATGATTGAGCCACCCTGAAATGGATCAGAGAGAATTCTGGCACTATGCTTATTCACATCTGAGGACCCAGTCAACTGTCCTCTTCTGACATCAAAGACCAGTTCTGCGACTAGTTGAAAACCCCATCAGCAAGATTCTGAAACATGAATCTGTTTTCCTGCTAGGGGACTTCAATGCAAGGATGGAAGCTGATCATGAAGCATTTCCCAATTGTGTTGGTCAACATGGAATTGATAAGATGAATGAAAATGGTAGAGACCACTATAATTTTGTTCCTGTTACAACCTTTTTGTGACACACAGTTCGTGTTGTGGCTTTGTCTGCAAGAATGTATCTTGGAAACATCCCAGATCTGGCCACTTGCATCAGTTGGATACTATCACAAGGCATACCTATCTTAACATCATCCTTGTTACCCACAGTTATCAAAGTGTTAATTCCAGCAGAGAGCGCACTTGTGCGCACCAAGGTCAGACTTAAACCAAAGAAAATATACAGCTCTAAAGTAAAAGATATCCTCATATTAACATCAATGCTTTAGCAGACCAAGAAAAGTCACAGCATACAATAACATACTACAATAAGCCCTTGACACCAGTAATTGTCTCACGAGCACCTAGCAGAAGAATGGACTCTATGATGCAGCTCTGTCAGTTTTTGGGAAGAAGGAATACAAGGCTAGTGAATGGTTTGGTGCATATTCCAGTGTGTTGACGCCAGTCATAGAGGATAGATGCACATCTCAACCAGCTACAAGAGAGATCCAAATGAAAACAAATTGAGCATTGAGAATGGCAAGAACCAAAATGCAACAAAATGCTTGATGCTGTGCCAATGACTACTGGCTAAATTTATGTGAAAGCATCCCAAGTAGCAGCTGATGCAGTCAACATTGGAAACATGTATGACGGAATCAAGAAAACCTTCAACTTCAAAGAAGGTAGTCCCATTGAAATCACATCAGGAGAAACAATAAACGGCCGCACCAAGGAGATACATAAGTGGGTAGAACACTACTTTGAACTTTACTCTCTTGAAAATATTGTTATGGACAGTCATCCATGTCATTGAAAGCCTGCTGTTTTGAACCAACTTGACAATGAAACAGTTGTCGAGCTTACTTGCCATAGATGGCATCCCTAATGGAAGGTCTTCTGGAATAGACCTCATACTGTCTGAGATTGGAAAAAAAAAAGTGAGAACTCTATTCTAGTACAGCATCTTCACAAGCTGTTCTGCCTTTGCTGGAAAAAAGGTGAATTACCACAAGAAATGAGGCCAACATCATCCCCCTCTAAAAACAAGGTTGACAGGAGTGAGTGTAACAATTATTGTGGAATTTCACTCCTTAGTCTTATGGAAAAAACCTTTGAGTTGTCCAGAACGTACTTCAGACCCTTGCTGATAGAATCTGTCCAGAAACACAGTGTGCCTTCAAGATGAAATGTTTACTACTGACATAATTTTGTCACTGAGACAACAGCAACCTACTGACTACTATATTTACCTACACATCTCCAGCTTTCATCCAGAACACATCACACGATCCATGAGAGACAACCACATTTGCTCCAGTCCTTCTGACAGAGATAAATACCTTCAGGGTTTCTATCAAGCATTCTTGAAATCACAATACCCACCTAGGGAAGTGAAGAAATCAATTGAGCCAGTAGGGTAACCAGAAGTCCAGCTCTTATAGGAGAGACCCAACAAAGAAAACAACAGAATGCCACTGGCCATTATCTACATTCCCCCAGCCAAAACCTTTCCACCATATCATCAAGGATCCGCAACTATCCTAGATGATGATCAGAAGCTCAAAACATCACCTTTAAACGTGACATGCAACAGAGATTCTCTTGAGTGTGTCTCTTTAGCCATGTTTGCAACTGCCATAAAACATAGTAAATTCTTTATCTGTCAGGGGTGCAAAGTACTTCATTATCTCCAGCCTAGTTACCTCACTGGCTGATGGTATTGCCACTAGCATGCTTCCAAGAATCCCCTATTTATAACAACTGTTCATGATGATAGATTCCATCTCTACCCTTCCACGGGAATTTTGGAACACACCTCCCCAGCTAATGTGTGTCTTGTTAGAAATCCATCTACGCTGTGTCTTTAGCACGTTGCACATGGTACCATAGCGATCTTGAGAGTGTTTCCCATGATCCTTTTTGATAACCAAAGGAGCATAAGACCAGTCAGAGAATACAGTTCCTAGAGTGGAACTACTGCTGGGCTTTTATTCTTCTGGATCTGTCTCTTATCTATGTATTATTTTCTGTAGGAATGGGTAGCAGTGATGAGTGGTCTGATGTTCAGGACATCATAGACTCTACTCCAGAGCTGGACATGTGCCAGGACCCGAGACTAGAGCACTCTGGAAACAGGTATTTGCTTTTATCTTTTGTAAGCATGCTATTTACTCTCCATGTGCCTTCTTGAAGAGTGAAGGGAGACTGTGGATTAAAAGAGCTCTTGTAATTAGTGTTTTGTAGTACATGTTAATGCTCTGGAGACACTGATATATCAGCGGTCATTGGATCTTACTTCCTCTCCCTTGTGCCTGAGGGATCTTTCACTCTGCACTAAACTCCCTGTTATATGGAAAGAACACAAGCTCAAATTCTGTGTTAGAAATCTCCTCCAGATGATCCTCAGTTGGACTGGCTTCAGACAGCACAGTTTGCCTTGCTCCCATGTGAGAAGGAAAGGTAGCATGATAAGAGAAGGGAAGGACTGAGGAGGTATGAGGCTTATGGGCTGAAGTGTTAGAAAAGAGAAAAAGACAATTGTCTAGTAAATGCCAGTCCTGAATTACTTCTCAAAACTCAGACCCTTCTCAGGTGTGCCATATATAGGTTGGCAACTAGGCAGTGAGTGGTCTTTTTGGTGAAATCTTGTGTTGCTGTGGTTCATGCTTGATTAGAATAGCAACTTCCCCTTAAATGGGGAGTTGCCTGAAGGCCATTTGTTTTGGTACATCGCTGCTGCCGGGTATGTCGTAGCCTAGATGCTTGTAAAGCAAAGAGAAACGATAAAAGGCAAGTCTTTTATGAAACAGCACATGATGAGTGGTCTTCATTTGGGCAAGGACAGTATTGGGAAGGAATCATGAAGAATCCTGAATGATGCAGGAACAAGGGACGAAGTTTCCTCTTAGCTTCTTTCACACTGGCGGGCATGAATACAAAAATTAAGGCAAGACTACACAACACGCAGGCCCCATTTAAGTCAGTTCTTCTGATATTAATAAAATGCAATATTTACCCGATTTCCACCCATCTGACAGCACGTTTAATGAGCAATGACAGTCCAGGAATTTAACTACTAAAATGCATATCAACCGAAGACCATTATATCGACTTCTTTTTTGTTTGGCTTCACAACAATCCAGGAATTTAACTACTAAAACACATATCAACCTAAACCACACTGTAAACCCAAACTGCACCACAGGCCACAAACAAACAGGCCATGGGCCACGTGTTGAGTGGCCCTGGTGTATGCCATGACAGTGGCTGATGTCATGATCGAGAACAATCAATCCAAACATTAATGGAGACAAACTCTAGTGAATGCAGATACAAGGAGATAGCCCTTTAGTCAAGGAAATCTGTGCACCAGGGCAACTGGCTAGAAGCACAATATATATAGTTTGGGTTACTGAGCCTTGGACTTGGGGCTCTAACATGCATAGTGCTTCCTCAAGTCTCAGTTTATTAAATTGGTCAGTCAGGAGTCAGTCCTCTTGCTGTTTGTTCCTGCCCACTAGTAAGGGTGTTTATCACCAGATAATAGTATAGCCCTGGAGGGGAAGAAAATCCACATTCATCTGCAGCTGGCCAGCACAGTATGCTTCATCTTGTCAGCCACATAGTGCCCCATGGATTCGTTACTTTCATGCTAGATTACTCAGTGTATCTAGGAGTGAGACTACACAGCCTGAAATACAGTGTGGTTGTCTGTTTAGCAGGAAGCTGTGAACATATCACTCAGCTGCTCTGCTTTCCTCACTGGCTCTCCATACAGCAGAATGCAATTCAAGGTCATTATTTCATGACCTCCCACAATACACGTGTTCCATTGGAACCATGAAACTGTCAACAGAGGGAGAGACTCATAAGTGAGGGGAACAGAACTTTCACAGGAATCAGATCAAGAATCTGAAACTTGTTCCCAACTGATGATGATAAAGATCCCAGACCTTGATGTGTCCATTACTAAATGTAAGGCTCATGTCTTTGATTTACCTTGTTTCCTGAATAAGTCCTTCACATACAAATAAGTCCTATTCACACACATGTAGTCGTGCATACATGCTTGCTAAACAAACAAAACTCAGGCTAATTTATCATATCGACAGCAAGGGGGAAATGTTGGTTTGTTTGTTTCAGTTTTCAAATACTTACCTGGCCCTATCATTGTAGTAGGTGCCTGTCATGTACCTTCACTGGTGGAATTGTGGGACTGAATGCATGGTCTCCACATCTACAGCGAAACAAATAAACACTAGATGAAACAAAACACAGAACTATGTAGCACTTTAAAGACTATCAAGATGGTACTAGTAAGAAGACATCAGTTAGTAAGAAGGATTCTAGTTTTATATAACAAATATTTTATAACATGATTTTAAAGAACTTTTGCATTAATCTGTTGATCTGTGCTGAATCATCTATGCTTATCTAACAGACACTGGTGACAGTTTTCATATTTGGAACCCTGAAGGATTCTTGTCCTTGATATGAGGACCAGGGTATATTTATCCTTTACGTAGTATGTCCATGGTCCATGAAGCAAATAGATGGAAAGATCTCTGTATTTTGATTGCAGTGATCTACTTTGCTCAACAAAGAAGAAGAATGTTCTAGCTAAAATGTTTCCTAAGTAACGAGATTTCGTTTTTTTATTTCCTCCAACAGCCCAACACAGGGAATTGTGAATAAAGCTTTCGGCATCAACACAGACTCTCTGTATCATGAACTTTCCACAGCAGGGTCAGAAGTTATTGGGGATGTGGATGAAGGAGCAGATCTTCTAGGTAAAATATATTTATAACAACTCTGTCCACTGGAGTTACAACTTTTGAAACAGACAGTTTTCTTTCTTCCTTCAGAACTGTGGTTCCTTGTCACTAAAACCAATTTGGGTTGAAATTTGAGACAATCCAGGAATGAAATATGTAACAATCATAATATAACTTAGTCATTTTAATAGGTTGGGATCTTGTTTTGTTAGGGCTATCTTTGTGTGAGTAGGTTAATTTTTGTGTGCAATTATCATGCACAGACTCCCTGGAAAAATAACTGCTTCCTTCCTTATCGTCACTCAGCAATAATTTTGCAGACACTTTTAATTGAAGATGGGGTTGTGGGGAGCAGAGTTGATATAGATTTGAAAAGTCTTGGAAGGGACTTCTGAAGCTTGGGCCCAGTATCAGAAGTTCCTGGCTAAGACTTTGCAACACCCAAAGAAAGGTATCTATCCCAGGTTGTAGACTGAGTCCATTGCCTCTAGAGTAAAACTTTGAGTGTCTAGGTCCCAGTTAAGAGCACTTAAGCACATGATTAAGTCTAATTGAAGTTGATATAATGCAGATAGGATAGACAAAACTCATATTTATATACTAACCAATTAGCCCGTCATAAAATGGGATTTTCAGGTCTCTCCTCCACGTCCTATTCCCTTTCTATCTCGGTCTTCTCTCCTGAGCTTCCGGTCTCTCTCTCCCTCCCCTCCTCCTACTGCCTCCCCCTCTCTTTCTCTCAGCTCTCCTCCGTCTCCTGCCTCTCTCTCCGTCTCTCTTTCTCTTCTCTTGTCCTCCTCCTGCATGGGGAGCGCGGAGCCCAAACAGCTGTTTGCGCCTCTTGCTCCTGCATGGCAGCCCGGCTGAGCGGCTGCCTTTGAGCTCCAGCTGCCCCCCTGCACCGTTTCCCTTCACCCCAACACTGATCCTGTAGCCTCTCAGTTGTCCTCCACAACCCTCTCCCCCTCGTTCCCCTGCCCTCTCCCCGGCCAGGGGGCGGAGCCTGGAGCCGCTGTCACACCGCACGTCCCCGCCGTGGCACTCTGCTGACTTTTGCACTGCTCGGCTGGGCCGCTGCGCGGGAGCAAGTGGTGCAAGCGGCCGTTTGGGCCCTGCACTTCCCATGCAGCATGGGCCGCCCAGAGGGAACAGCCAGCATTTCAGCAACAGCGCTGCCCAGAGGGAACAGCCAGCATTTCAGTGTTACCGACTCAGACATTGGGCTACTGTATATATGATGTCACTCTTAGGTCCAAATGTCTTGATTTAAGAAGCTTTCCAGTAACTTGAGGCATAAGAGGGCTCTCACAAAATACCTTCTGTGTGCCGAGGACAAGCAAGAAGTGTATTTGAAAGTATTAAGTGGAGATGAATATATTTTATTTCTGGTTGTCTCATGTGCTTGTTGAAATTACAAAGGCTCATGGCCTATCTCCTCATTGGTTCAAAAAATATAGTATTGACCAAAATGCATTTGGAGGTAGATTCAGCCAGGCCAGTTCATGATCTCATTGTAAAATTGCAGTAGGCCATTTCTACTAAAAATATAAAGATATCTAAATCACCTTGACAAGGGCAGACTATAAGCCTTGTATCTGAATCCTCTTGGCCTCAAGGACTGCACTGGAGAGGAAGCATGAGGAATTAGGTATGTAATAAATGATAAAAGGGACACTTTGGAGGTATGGAGCTCACAGGCTGTTGCATAGGTGATTTTTATAGGTTATTTATTGTAGTACCTTTACAGCATTTAGAACAGTTGCATTGTGCAGCCACAGGAGATCACAAAAATGAATTTAGGTCTTGATGCAGGACTGAAGAAATTTGGAGTAGAGCCCAGCTGAAAGCAACTCATTGTTACTGGGGCACTTGGCTTGTGTGTGGAGGTGGCTCCTATGCAGATGATAGGAGTTTGTGGATGATGCTAAACTGTTTAAGATAGTCAAGACAGAAGCAGACTGTGAGGGACTCCAAAAAGATCTCATCAAACTGAGTGATTGGGCAACAAAATGGCAAATGAAATTTAATGTGGATAAGTGTAAAGTAATGCACATCGGGAAAAATAACCCCAACTATACGTACAGTATGATGGGGGCTAATTTGGCTACAACAAATCAGGAAAGAGATCTTGGAGTTATCATGGACAGTTCTCTGAAAACTTCCACACAGTGTACAGCGGTGGTCAAAAAGGCAAATAGGATGCTAGGAATTATTAGGAAAGGGATAGAAAATAAGACCCAGAACATCTTACTGCCCCTGTATAAAACTATGGTACGCCCACATCTTGAATACTGTGTACAGATGTGGTCTCCTCACCTCAAAAAAGATATTTTGGCCTTGGAAAGGGTTCAGAAAAGGGCAACTAAAATGATTAGGGATTTGGAACGGGTCCCATATGAGGAGAGGCTAAAGAGACTGGGACTTTTCAGTTTAGAAAAGAGGAGACTGAGGGGGGATATGATAGAGGTCTATAAAATCATGAGTGGTGTGGAGAGGGCTGATAAAGAAAAGTTATTTATTAGTTCCCATAATAGAAGAACTAGAGGACACCAAATGAAATTAATGGGTAGCAGGTTTAAAACTAATAAAAGAAAGTTCTTCTTCACACAGCGTGTAGTCAACCTGTGGAACTCCTTGCCAGAGGAGGCGGTGAAGGCTAGGACTATAATAGAGTTTAAAGAGAAGCTAGATAATTTCATGGAGGTTAGGTCCATAAAAGGCTATTAGCCAGGGGATAAAATGGTGTCCTTGGCCTCTGTTTGTCAGAGGCTGGAGAGGGATGGCAGGAGACAAATCGCTTGATCATTGTCTTCAGTCCACCCTCTCTGGGGCACCTGGTGCTGGCCACTGTCGGCAGACAGGATACTGGGCTAGATGGACATTTGGTCTGACCCAGTATAGCCGTTCTTATGTTCTTATGTAAATAGAGGTGAGGAAGTCTGAGCCTTATAGAAAAAACAAATGAATGTGTTAATGTTATGAGAATTTTATAGGCAACTGTACTGCTTTAAATAAAGATGACCAAAAAGATGTTGATGACAGCTTCACCACCAAGTTTGTTTGTTTTTTGTGGCTATTGTGAATAACATTTTCAAACATATTGTTTCCTGTAGCCATACTCTTAGCTTTTTTTCCTGAGATATTGAACGCCATAGTCCCCATTGAAGTTAATTAGTACTAAAGATGTACAGCAATTTTAAAAATTAGATTATTATTTACATTCTGAATATGGACTAAAGGGTGCACTTCTATCACTTAAAACATATAAACTGACATTTTAAAACTTAAGAGAACTATTCTGTTATGATTGGAGAGGCAACAGTTTCCCTACTGCTAGTGGGTTGGATGCTGCTTTGAGAGGGGATGTTCTCATTCTAGCATGCTACTTGGCATACTCTGCTAAGCTGAGCTCAGATGTCATTTTATAAGATTTTCTGGGAACAACCACAGAAGAACTAGGATTAACTAGAAATTAATATTCATTTCTTTTTTCTTTATTTCAGAGTTCATATTTTATAGTTCAGGTTTTATTTTCTTAATAGTATATAAAGATAAAAATAAATTACTCCTGTCATAGTCAAAGTAAATAACATTCTAGTGCGTTTAAAAGTCACGGATGACTCACACAGTAGAATTTGGCTTTGTTTCTACATAACTGCCAGGATGTAGCTATCTTTGGGGATTAAAATGGCATTAGGATGTTGTAATAGTTATAACAGGACTTAATTCATTTTTGGTAAAAGATAATGAAATAGGTATTTTAGATTTCTTTTTATATGATAGTTTTCAAATATTCATTATAAACTATATATTTTATGTTTGCCACCAATTAAACACTGAATTTCACATACAGAATTAAAATGGAAGGAATTTTTTTCTTTTTCCTTTATATTGATGTAGAAGAGAAGTCAGCAAAGTAGGTTTCAAGTTTTGTATTTTTCTGAGTTCAGGGAAATGGAGCTATAGGAATGAAGTATTCAGCAGCAGTAGTAAATAGGCATTGGCTAGGTGTACAAGAGGCTCAATGAGCTGGCTTGCTCAGGCTATTCTTTTTATAATCATGATTGCAGGCCTCTACTTTTGTCAAGTCACTTTAACTTTTGCCAAGTACGGTTAATAAAGGGAAAAATGGAGTAGGTGAAGAAACCATTTTAATTTTAATTATTCTCTAATCTACCTAATCATTTTAAGGGTGGGGGGAGTGGTGAACTTAACCCTAAGGACCTTTCCTTTCTGTTCTTTACAGAAGAACTACAGATAACTCACATAGCTCCAATCAC